TCCTCATCAACTGAAATCAGATTGATTTTGGACTCATATTCAGTGGTAGTTTCTCTACTGGTATAAGCCAGGATTCAAAAATCTTTTGTCCTCTGAATTCTGGAGCTTCCACATCGTCTGGCATCATGTGTTGGTGACTCCTGTCCTATAAATGTTTGGGAGAAATGTGCCATATTTTTCATGTTTTTCTGATTTTACTGCACCTTTTCCAAGTTTGGATAGTTAGCTATATGAGCACCTGCCACTGTTTTACACTGGGCTGCAGAGTACAGTCACAAATGGTAAGTAACACATGACCACAGAGCGCGGCTCACACTCAAGCTCAACTGGTGTGGTAAGGCACAGCAGCACACATTTAAAAAATTCTATCTTTAGGATTTTAACATGGATCAATCTGTTTTCTTTAACTCCTGTTAGAGAAACTTTGTGTCTTATCATTCATGGCTCATTTCAGTTCTTTGACATTTTGTATATATTTGTCCTCTGAATAACCTGGGACAATTTTCATGTTTGGAGTTCCAAATCACAAATTTTCCTTGTTAGTTCATCTGTTGGGTTTCTATAGTCTAAGCTCATGTAATTTCAGCTCCAATGCACTTAATGACTTTATATGGACAGCAGTTTGCTCCTGTTTATAAACATGTATTTTTCCCTGAATATACATTCATTTATGCATCTAATTACTGTAGCACCGATACCCTACTTTTCTATTAATTGTGTAGCTTTATGTATTAACTAATTAAAGCTTGAGGACTCCTTTTGTATGTATGTTTCATTTTTTTTTAAAGTATAACATTCTTGCACATCAGCATCCCTTCTTAGATTTTCCAAACCAGGTATCCACTGTGACTAGTTGAGTTTATTCAGCAGTCCTATAGTTATCAGACAGGTGAGATGGACTGGCTGCAAGGTGTCAACATCTCACCCTGTGAGAGCGAGAGACTAGGTGTCATCAACATGTCCTCCTTCTATTCATTTTGCTCAGCCAAAGACACACATGTGGTCTCAGCCACTTCCATGTAAGTGGATGTCAGCAAACGTGAGTCACCAGGGTGGCTCAAGTCCCCTTCCACTCTCAGCATTCCTTTTCCTTCCTTGCACGGCAGCTTTTCTGGCCCAGCTCCTGCCACTCGCACGTTTCCAGTGTCTATGCTTTCCACTAACCCTCGTCAAATTGTTTTCAGCCATTCAGGAGACTTCAAGATGTGGGATGTACTTACGCCACCCTCTTAGACTACCGCATCAGACTCAGTACCTCCTCAGTCGTCCCTACGACTTGGCTTGAGAAAAGAAATGAGAAACAAGAATCCGCATCAAAAAAATTAATGGAAATGACTAATACATGAAAGTCTTGTTCTAAATGGGTAAAATTATAGATATGTTTACATCTTCAATCATCGCAATATTACATCACAGAGCTGTAGTCAAGGTATGTGCTGATCTAATTTATTTTGGCCGTCTGTTTAGGGCTGCTTGTATTTTTAAAAAAATGCGATGTCAATTCTGAGCAAAATATTGCTGCACTGCTCTGTGGGACAGAATGTATTGCTTCCATGTACATTATTTTTTAAATATTATCACCTTAGATATAAAAATGACTATATGTTACCTTTCATTCTGTATCAAGTGTCTGCTCAAACTAGAAATCAAAATATGCTATGAATGAAGAGATGAACACGACAGAAACATCAAATATGGCTGACCTAATATGGAACTAATTTGGTGAAAACAGTAAGAACACACCCTAAATCAACTGTTTTATATATATATATACATATATATATATATATAGAGAGAGAGAGAGAGAGAGAGAGAGAGAGAAGTATATGAATAGCAAAAATGAGACCCAGAAGCAATAAGCACTTGAAGATTCAAGCTCGTCTCACTCTCTAGCCACACATACATTAGTATTTGGAGAATAAGCTGACCAACCTTATTAATTACCACAATTTTAAAATGCTGGGTAATTAATGACATGCTTCTTTCCATAGAGACTTTTAGGGATCTTTGAATCCACCAAAAATCAGACAGATGCTGAGCAGCTGACGTGCTAAGGAGTAGTCAGTATGCAAGCAGCTACCGAGAGAAAAAAAATGCACCCAGTGGCCTACTCTCACCTGTGCAACTGACAGGTTATTACCTGGAAAGAGGAAGTTTTTGCAGACTCAAAGCACTTATCAATATCTTGCCCCGTCTGTGTGAAGGCATCCTGATCCCTCACACAGACCTGCAGGATCCCAGCACACCTGAACTGAAGAGGAGCAGAAATGTAGACGAGCATCCACACTCAGACCAAAAACACAGACAGACAAATGAAAGCGCCTAACCTTAGCAGTCGAGGCTTTGAAGCTCTGACCTCAACCAGCAACATTCGAGGACTATTTCTCCCCATTGTATCTTCTGGCCTCATCATGGGAGCTGTTCTTTCCCATTCCCTGGAGAAACTGCACTTTCACATCCTCCCATTCTCTTCTTCACCTACAGCGCTCTGCAGCACTTCACCACCTGGAGAAAGCCTCCCCACACTCCAGAACCCATTCCATACACTGCATTTGGAGAAGCCTTTCTCAAGCAGCCTAATGAGATATTCCCTCGCAGATACCATTTCTCATGATGGCATGTCACCATTTGGATCCTATTTGCTTGTGTAGGACCTTCTAATCTCTGAGTCACTGAAGAGTAGAACATTGGAATGCCTAACACCAAGTCCTAGAATAAAATTAGCAGGGCTCAGTGTGGTAGCCTAGTGGCTAAAGTCCACGTTCTGCACATGCCAGGATCTCATATAGGTGCCAGTTCATAGCTTGGCTGCTCCACTTCTCATTCGTCACCCTGCCTGTGGCCTGGGAATGCAGTCAAGGAGGGCCCAAAGCATTGGGACTCTACCCCCACATGGGAGAGACCAGGAAGAAGCCCCTGGCTTCAGATCAGCTCAGTTCCAGCTGCTGCAGCTGCTAAGGGAGTGAAACAGTGGATGGAAGATCTTTCTCTTTATCTCCTTGTCTCCGTATAACTGCCTTTCCAATGAAAATAAATAAATCTCTCTTTTTTTTTTAAAGAATAAAATTAGCACCCCTTGGCATTTCAGTTCCTCCACTCAAGTTTTAATTGGGTCATCTAACTGCATTTAGGAAATTTGATGTCCAGAAAGATGAACCAGAGAGCAAGCCATGGCAGTTTAGATAGCAGATTATACTCACACTCTCCTAATCCACCACCTCCTAAGAAGGGAACGGCTGGCATGGGAGAGTGTGGCGTAACAAACCCACCCTCCTTGGCTATTTACCTAACTTTTTTACCCTACCATTTGACTACTTCACTGTATTGCTGGCAACGCCAGTTCTCCATAACAAAGACTTCCCAGTTCCGAACATACACATAGGTGGCTAATAGGAAAAGCGAGTAAAACTCCATCATGATAAACAGGGGTGTATGTCAAATTGCCATTCCGCCCATGAAAAACCTACTCATACTTCTCCCTCTGCCCCGAGTCATGAGCAAAGGCATAGCTCATTTGGAAAATGTGACCAGCAGCCCACATTTCAACACAGTGAAATACTTTATCCCCTATTGCTCCGACCGCACCAGGAACTTTTTAGATGTAATTATTTAATGCCCAGCCAAAAGCCAGTGTACAATGAAACCTGCACTGAATGTTTTCCTCAGCGAGGTGTTCAAATACCAACTCCATTGAAAACAAACAAACAAAAAACAGGATATTCTGAAAAGTTTCTCATGACATTTTTCCACACCATGTTCTCATGAATGCCTAAAAATGCCCACATTTAAATATTCATCATTGTGAGCATTTGCTAAAATATAGTTCTTTCCAGCAGTTTACATCATATGACTGTGCAAGCTTGGGGTGGGGAGGGCAGAGTAAAAACTTTCCTGTTCCATTTCATTTGAATTTTTAACCACAGTTTTCTCCTTCATAGTTTGGGTGGCTCTGTGAAGGCATTTTCTGCTATAAATGGCTGTGGGACTGTCCCCCCAATGAATACGTTGGTTTCATGCAAGTTCTTGCAGAATTCATCAACGACTCACTACGAAGGGCAGAAGTCAAGCCACATGTCACAGCAGCAGCATCAATATCATGTGAGTTTTGCCACAAAGCTTCCGAGGTCATGGTGGTGATGGATGTACAAAATGAACATAGGTTATGATACTGATGCAGATGAATATCTCACAAGGGCTAGTATGGCAGACCTGTTATGAATGTTCTCTCTCTCTCTCACACACACACACACAGTTAGGGCCCGCTATGGAGGGTAACAATTTTCCCAAACCCTGGGTCAAGATGGAGGGAGAAAAAAATCCAACCATGATTTGTCCCTAAACACTAGTGGCCTTATATTCTCCTTGACTTTCCATTCCCAACAGACTCAGCAAGGCCCGCCATTTGCTAGTTCCCACCACGGAGGGTAGAGAAACCCTAGGACAATCAAGATTAGGCCACACAACCACCACGCTTTGGATCCTGGTCGGAGTGTGCCTCCTGGTTGACCAGCAGCCCGTGTCTGCCAGAGTCTACCTCTCCAGCCTCTATTTTGAAGGCCCTAAGAACAGGTGTGCAGTGTGGCGGTGGATGTGAGTAAACTCTACACAGATAAGGGAGACTTGCTCTGAGTAACTGCAGTCAACATAAGCCTGTAGAAGGAATCGGAGACTGGGGGGAGGCAGGAGGATTGGTGGTCTTTCCATGTGAGGGTGGGAGGGGGCTTATGTGAGCAAACACTGAAGCACAGGGGACGAGGTTACAGGAGGCCGGACTCCCAGTGGAGAAGATGAAAGAAAAAAGCCTAAGGCTCTTTGAGGACTCTCTGTCATCCAGTAGCACTCCTGGAGCTGTTATGTTGGCCTGGGTGGCAAGTGATATAGAGGCCAGGTGATGGGGTCCAGGAGGACAATCAGAGCAGGGGGTGGAGAGTGGAGGGGTGCATGCCAGAGAGGAAAGGCTAGGTGAGGAGGGAGCAAAGCTGGGGAAGGAAGGCGCTTACCAGGCCGCCTCCACAGGTGCTGAAAGAGGCCAGTGAGCCCGGATGCCGCAGCACCGCCCCGGTGTAAAAGCAGGCGGCGTCGGGTGGCTCGGGAGGGTGCACAGGGGCTGCGGCTGCGGTGGGGCCGGGCTGCGGCCGCTGTTCCACCGCGAAGCGCGGCGCCAGGAAGCGACCGTCCCTCCGCAGCAGCAGGTACAGGTCCCGGGAGAAGGCCGGGATCCTCAGCAACACCTCGTCGCCTTCAGGGTCGGCTGGCTGGGCCGGGGGGGACGGGGGCGGCTGCGGAGGCGGGGGCGGCTGCCACGAGGCCGGGGCGCCCGGGGACAGGGGAGCAGCGCCGCTGGATGCCCTTGGCAGCTCCTGCGACTCGAGCTCCTCGTCTTCTTCAGCCCCTTGCGCCGACACGGGCCGGGGCCGGGACTCCGATCCAGCGGGCTCCTCCAGGGGCGCGGGGGCCACCGAGCGCACCTCGCGTGAGCTGCCCGCAGCCTGCGCCCGGGCGCCTCCGCCGGCAGCTGCGCCGCGCATCCAGCCCGGGTCCGCGCTGCCCCCGCTGCCGCTGGCCGCGTCCACCGGCTCCCGGCTCCAGAGTGCAGGATACACGACCTCCCACTCCTCGCGGTCCGGGGCGAACTGCAGCCCTGCAGGCGGGGGCGGACAGAGAAATGTAGGGTGTGAAGTGCCGCGGTTCGCGGGCTCGCGGTCCGCACAGATCCGCGGCACTCTCGCAGGAGCGCGGAGACCACCCGCCAAGCTCCCCCAAAACTGTGGCTAGTCCCACAGCCTAGCGATCAGATTACAGACCCCAGCGTTTTCCGAAGGGAGGTAGGAGGACCAGGGAAGGGGCGGCTAAATTGGAAGAGCGCGCTCGGTTTTGCCTAAAAAGAAACCCGGTAGGGAAATTCCGGCCCAGGGAAGCGCATTAGAGGACGTTCCTTTGGGTTCCAGCACGTCTTCGCAGCCAGCTCTGCACCCCTCGGAAGAAGGTTCCATTTCACAGACGGGTACAGCGAGGCCGCGAGAAGCGCTCTTGCGCTTCGCTCCCGAGCTAGGCTCTGCACCCGCACGCCCCGCCGAACACCCCCGCTCTGCACGCGCCGCCGGCACCAGCGCCACCCTAGCCGTTGTGTCCTCTCTCTGGACTGGGGACCTTGGAAAGGGAGCCAAGCGACCCCAGGACTTACCTGAAACGAGCCCATTCGCCAGGAAGCCCAGGTGGTAGAGCAGGCAGCAGCAGCAGATGCGAGTCATACGCATCTCGCGGCTCTTCCCCATGCCGCGCGCCCGCGATCGCCGCCTCTGGCCCCGCGCGCGCCTCCTGCGCGATCCCACCGCGGGCGCAGTCGCCTCCCCGGAGCTGAGCGCGAGGAGGAGGCCGGGCGGTGAATTTGCCCAGGCCCCTTTGTCTGCAGGGGGCGTGGGGTGGGGTGGGGGGAGCCGAGTGACTCCCGGAGGCCGCTGGAGCTCGGGCGGGGATGGGGTGGGGGGAGGAGCGGAGGAGGCAGCGCCGCAGCCCCGGGCGCTACGGTTCCCTGGCGAATTAGGTGATGAGTCTACTTTTCGGGCTCTGAACCTTGCAAGAGTTTCCATGGCCGAGCAGGCTAGAGGAGAGCCCCGCCGGACATACCCACAGTCCGGGAGGCACAGCGCGGGCAGTGCTGCCTCGGGACCGGCAGAGGACCGGCCGGCGGGCGCGCAGGAGCGCTGTGGCCTTCTAGCCCGGGCTCGCCGCTTGTAACCCCGCGCCCATCTGCCGGGCGCCTACCCCGGGCTCAGCAACTTGGCTTGCGGGGCGGGGATGCGCACAGTCCTGCGGACACCGTGCTCTTGCTCTGATCCGCAGCGGCTCAGACGGGATGAGTGTGGAGAAGGGAGGGACAGGACTCGTGAAGTGGATGTGGAGGAGCTGACATCAAGCGGATCCAACCAAAAGCAAAAGAAAAAAGGACCAAAGGGTGGCCTCCAGGCTTGATGTTGTGGGACAAAGGTCCCAGAACACCGCACACGTGCTCACAATCCGGGTTGAGTGGGGTGGAGACCGCATCTCCCTGTCCTAACTTCTGATTGGCCGCTCGGCTAGGCCTCATTTGCATCCCCACCTCTAGCCCTCCATAGGCCGAGGTGTGTGCAGGTAGAGGGGCCTCCAGGTCCCACCTCACCCCTCGGGGGCGCCTCCTTTGTTCAGGTCTGTCTCAGGCACAGGTCCCACCAAAGCAAAACTTCAATGCAGATTAAGCACAAAGCTGCAGCCTCCTCTGCCAGAGGCCTTTGATTGGTCTTCCCAACCTCCTCTCAGGGCGCTCCCTAAGCCTGCAGATCATGTCATTTGTCATGGAGTGGGCTTCAAAGGACACCCCGACATGTCAGAGCCTATTGCCCCACCTAGCTTTCCAGCTCTCCATTTGTAGCTGGCTTGCTGGTTTCCTTGCTGGTTCTCTCTCTGTCTGTCAGCCTCCCCCCACCCCCCACCCCCCAAAGGACAGTAAAATCAGGTTCACATGCTGTTTCCTTAAGATCTCAGATCAGGTGAAATCATTTTGCCTTACCACCGGTCTTGCCATTTGCATCTTGCATCTTCCAGGCAAGGCCAGACACCTAGAAATAAAAGTTAATGCAGTTAATGCAAAACCAGTTTAAAAAAAAAAAAAAAGCTTATCCAAGTCCTGAGGTTCCTTCCCCACCTCCTTTGTTGATTTACCTTCTGATCTTCGTGTCAAAGGTGACTTCTATGCCTGGAAGGGAGGCAGCCTATCTTATTTCAAAGGAAAGCCATTGTTTGAATAAGTTAGTCCTAGAATACTTTGAGCTTTCCAGGGTTTAAAAGCAAACAGGAAGACACTCTAGGTGAGTCTGCCCAGAGTGTTGCGTCTCTAAGTCTGTGTTGTAGAAGAAGATCTTGAAATCTGAGTTAACTAGGATGCAAGTTTCAGATCCTCAGAAAACATATGGGTTTCCTTGGTAAGCTATTTGCATCTTCTCACAGGCGCTAAATCATGTAGCCTTAAAACCTGGCGAAAACTCAGAGGTAGTAATATATATATTTTAAAGAAGAATATTGAGCTATTAAGATTAAAAGCTACTTTCAAGGTTGCTTGCTAGGATATCAGTCTTAAATGTTTCTCACACAGAATTCAGCCACATTGACAACAAAAGATGTATGTATGTGCTGGAATGTTTGTGATTTCTCGGAACTAAGCCATACGACTACATTTAGATGTACTTAAAACGGTTACCAAAATGAGTTCCCATCTTTGCCTCTCCTTCCCACCCCCCCCCCCATAATACACAAATCTCTCCAATGCCTCACAGTAGAGGTTAATTCTGACACTTACAGAAAAGTTTGCCCAGTTCCAAGTAGCTCTATTTATTTCCACTTGAAATAGTTATAATTTATTTGTAAATTTTAAAAGGCTTTCATAATCTTTGGGGATGAAGTAATTTGAATACTTACTTCTACAAGTCAACCTTTTGAAGAGTAAGAATGATGTGCTTCATGTATCTTTCTTCTCTTTTTTTACATCACCCTGCCTAACTCGATGATTTACATTGTTTCAGTGTGGAAACTCTCAGGAAGTTCTCCAAGATGCCGGAGACTGTGATGGAAATTGATTTCTTTATAGCATTTTGTTTCAATTCCAATTCCTTAATCCAGAGTTACAGTGTAGCTCTGCTTGTGACCAGCCACTATCAGCATGATTTATCTAGTTTCCCAATAAAAACAAGCCTAGCAGAGTAACGGCATGTGGGACACTTTTGTGCAATCCAACCAGGATAGGCTTAGATGTGCAAATCAGAGCATCAATTTAACTGGATGTGAGTTTGTGCATACATAAAAGGCAGAACTCTCACTTAGAACGGAGTCCATCATGCCTGAGGAAATAGAGGAGAAAAGGCTGGACTGACATGTGTGTGCATTACCCACCTTCCAGACAAGCCAAGAGCAGCTGGGGAAAATATGTTGGCTTAAGACAGGTACCTCTGCATGTCACCAGATGGCAGCTAGCATCAGCAGCGTACCACGTTTGTGTTCTCAGAGCAAGGACAGGCAGAGTCGAGGCAAATGAAGCATCAGAGTAAGTGGAACCAACTGTTCCTAGGCACAAGGTACTCGCATGGTGAAAAGTTGCCTTTGATGCCTGTGGCTTTTCCTTACTCTCTTCACTCATAGGCACTCAGCCTCTTGAAACCTGAAGAGAACTTTAAATCCTTTTCGCCTAGGGGAAAAATTTTAATATCTTGAGAAAATACAAAGAATTCTTTCATGGAGTTGCATGAGGACACCATCTCCCAAACTCATGTCTCATCTGAGATCAGGGTAACAAAGCTAGGCCTGGGCATGATGGAACTGTGGAGGGACCAGGTTTAATATTCACATTAAGTGATCAGGAAGTAGATACAATGTGCTGAATAATAGTTTACAGGTGGTGGACAACACAACATGCAGTTTAGGATTGTGTGCCCCGAGGAGACCCAAGTGATTGCTCTTAGTTCCCTACTGTAGGCAATGCCCGGCTTTAAGCTAGTTCTGTAGACCAGCTGACTCAGACAGAGCCAGGAAATTTGACTTTCATAAACATCTCAGAGAGAAGGAAGTTGTACTGAGACTCTGTGGTTTAGGCTTGGCAGTGTAACAATCTCAGCAGTTCAAAACAACAAGTGTTTATCACCCCAGGTGATGTCTGAAGGCCAGGAATCCTTGAGAGACCAAGATGGATGCTTTTGAGTCAGGACTCAAAGAGATCAAGACTGAACTGGAAATTGCAAGACTGAACCCCATCCAGCAGAGGTTGTCCGGCAGGAAGCTGAGAAACCCAGGACATGTGCTCCCTGTAGGGTTGCCTGTAATGTCATGTTCATCAGAGCTCAGAAAAGACTGCCCAAGATAGAGGCCTGGAGCACCTACCACTTACCGTCAAAGGTAGCCCGCTATCACTTAGATGATGTTGCAAGATGTTCTCTTCACAAGAAAGCAGCCACTACGTACAGCTCACATACAGAGGGAACAATACAGTAAATTTGTGGAAAAAAATTTTAAACTAATCACTCTCTTCCCTGGTCCTAAATTATTGGTGTGCTCTGCACATGCGAAGTATGATCATGCTGTTGTAATTCCCTCTAAAGCCTCATCTGAGAAAAAACATCGGCTCTAAGTCTGGAAATGCATCATCTCCCTTTGGGGTGCGCATTCATGTCCTCACATAGCTCCCCACGTGAAGCTCATGGAACTCACAGCCTCTCCCAGAATCCAGCTGTGAAACTGAAGGAACAACTCATTTGCTTCTAACACACCCGATAAAACAGTGGTGAATCAAGCATGTGAAAACTGCTATTGACATTTCTGTTCAGAAAGGAGACACTTCTGATTCATGTGGTTGTATTTAAACAAACCTGTGTGTGATAAAATTTCAAAGACACACACTTTGATGACATTCAAGTCAGCTTTATAGTTTACTTAATAATACTGCACCAATGTCTGTGTACCAGTTTTGATAGTTACTGTGGTTGTATAACATCATTGCTAGAAAACTGAAAGACTTGAAAAATATCTTCATGATATTTTCTCAAAATTTGATTCCAAAATTATTTCAGAACAAAAATCTAAAGTAAAATTTCCTTTTTTATTTAAGATGTACATATGTATGTGTGTGTGTGTGTGTGTGTGTCTTCTGAAGTCAGAGTTAGAAAAGAAGAGACAAAGCAAGAACTTCCATCCACTGAATCACTGTCCAACAGTCCCAGCTGAAGCCAGGAAAATTCCACCCAGGTCCCACCTGCTCCCTGTGGATGGCAGGGGCCCAAGGACTTGGACCATGTTCCGCCACTTTCCTAGGTATGTTATCAGGAAGTAGGACTGAAAGTAGAACAGCCAGTACCTGATATGGCACCAGTATGAATGATCAGCACTAAAAACAGTAGCTTGATCAGTGTGCCACAACGCTGGTGCCTGTAAAAGTGCTTTGAGACACTTCAGGCGTTCAGTACTATGGCCTTCAATGTCCATGGCCAGTCCCTAAACCACTCACAATTTAGGTTTTTGTTACAATAGTGGACATTAAATTATACCAGCATCTGTATTTGTTATTCCTTACTACATACCAGATTGCCCCACAGAGTAGCATCCTCAAACATTATTATATAGTCTCTTTGTTTTGGGAATCCAGAAAATTAAATTTGAATAGTTCCGGTTCAAGACTTCTGACAAATATGCAACCAACTTGGTGGCCAGAACTCCATCTGGAGTCGCAAAAGACAACCACTCTGAAATGTCTCCCTTTCCCTAAAAAAAAAAAAAAAAAAGGGGACCCAGAGGGAGTAAGAGTTCACCCAAACAGGAACTATTGTATGTTTGTAACCTACTGACAGAATTGGTGT